CAGCAGATTTTAGATAATTTTTTAACCCCAAATTATATTTTGGGTTTTATTTAACAAATACTGAGAATGCTTCTATAATTTTTTAAAAATTCAAGGGTAATTTTTATAATTTTAAAAAATAAATAAATATGAATTTTAAAATTTTAAAAATATTAATATACAATAAAATCAAATCATACATAATCTCAATGTATAAATCTAAATTTAAACATAAATTATTGTGCCATGTATCTGAAAAAATGGGTACTGACGGCACATTATAGCACATATGATGCTAACAAGTTCCGGCCGGCTGCTATAATACGCCATTCAGGTGCATGTTACCACTTTCTTCGTCACCCAAATTAAACGTCTTTTTCCCTTTACTGAATCTAACTCGCTCTCTCTCTCTCTCTGCTTCGCCGCCGGCGTAAGCTCCGGTGTCTTAGATCCGTCAGGTGAATCGCTAGCGTCCTCCCTCTTTCGCCGTTCCATACATGTGTATATATGTATATGCCGTGTACACTTTTTTTTTTGGATAAAATGCCGTATACATTTCATCCCTTGGATCTGGAGCGACGGGGAAACTTCAATTGTTTCAGTAGGAGGCTGGAGATTTTTTTTCATCGCTGTCTTAGCAAACAGATAGACGGACATAAAGCATTTAGTTGTTGCTCCAAATAGGGCATTTCGCCGGACTTTGTTTGTTTTTCCCTGTTCCACGTGCTTGATGATGCCCTGAACGCTTATTGATCTTCCTGGGTTACTTCTTATTGGACTTTGTGAAGATTTCGGCCGAGTTTAATCTGATTTCTGTGGGTGGTTTGCACCGTGACTTCGATGCTCATGATTTTTACAAAACGGCGGCGATTTGGATTTTTCTTCAAGTATTTGACTCTATTGTGATTCTATATGCATTGTTTCCGTTTTGGCTAAATGGCTCATTTTTATTTTGCTTTTGTGGCCTCATTTTTTGGGAAGATTTTGTTAGAAATGTCTTTTGGTGACGGGTTAGAGAATAATGTTTGCGAATGTCTGGTGAATTTTTGTTGTTACATAGATTTCTTGCGTGTACACAAGTTCCCATTTAACTAGTGCCTTTGAAATGACATGATCTGTCTCTGGAAGGCGGTAGGGTGAACTTTGAACATCCCTTGCTTCATCTCCGGTGTGGGAAGGGTACACAAACTTTTGTTGGATGTGCAGATGACCATTACAGATGTTATTTGCAGCAGATGGAGGAGGGTTCTTCTCTTCATCGGCGTCTGGTTATAGCAAGGGCCTCGCCCTCCTCCTCCTGGGGCACAAGAATGAAGGCAAACCTGTGAGAGTGACATTGTGGAACCGATACCATTTGGTGGATCAGGAACCATATACCAGCCTCCATCTGGCTTCGTTTAGGAACCGACTCTCCCGTGCCTGCACCTCATTTATTTGTTTTGGTCGCACTTCTGCAGGACCCGAAAGTCCCTCCCCTCTTAAAGTTGGCCCACCTCAGCCACAAGCCGTACCTTCTGGTTCTCCCATACATCACCAAGGGAGGAGGGACCATGCACCTTGTATTGATGGTAAGATTGAAGAAACCAAAAGGATTGCGCTTAAGAGCAGCCTGAAGAAAAGATCATTTAGCGGTGCGGTTCCTGCCGATGGCGCGAATAGACAAGACCCGCTTGGTCACATAGAAAGGAGGAAAGTGCAGTGGCCTGACACCTGTGGAATTGATCTTGCCGAGGTCAGAGAATTTGAGCCTAGGTATGATGATCTATCTTTATGTCACTCCAAAATGGTAATTAGTGTCTGTTGATGTGACTGATGGAATCTATCTTTTCTATATTTTGGGAGTTTTACATTAGGGTCAGAAATCTAGTGTGCAATTCTGTGTTGATCAAATACGAGATTGGTTGATAGTTTGCAAAACTGTAGGTACCCTCGTTTTGTGAGCTACTTATCAAAGGTGAACCCCAACCATGTGTTATCATGGATTGTGTTGTGTTTATGATAAACTCATTTGTTGTCTTAGTCTTACCTTGCTCTTGCCTGTAAGTAAACTAAACTCATAGGTTGTGACTGGCGATAATAATGCTTGATGGCTCATATTGATGATCGGTGATTTATATGTAACATGTCCGGCTCGTGAACTCATAACCTCTCGTGTATGTTTTTATGGAATCCCCATGAGTGGAACAAAACCTTATTCCATGGGACTTACACAAGCTCGCTGTTTCTTAAACTCAAGTAATTTGATCGGTGATCCATTGGTTCATCTTCTTCCCTTTCACTTGATTTCGAGAAATGGTTGATAAATTACCGTAAAATCTCGTTCTAATTACTCCTGACTTGTGAAAAAACTTGCTGAGAAACATGCTGATATGGATTTTGCAGCGAAATGGGCGGATCAGAGGACGGGTTCCAACATGGAACCGAGAAAAGCTGTACGTGCACAATCATGTAAGTAACCATCTTCTCGGTTCACAGGCTCGGACTCTACTGGCTGGATCAGAACTCCGGCGACATGATCAGACCGGTCACGGGAAAGAAGGCCTGAAATCGCAGTTAAGAACAATACCAATGACAGAAATTGAGGTAGATGCATTCTCCCGGACAAAAGTCCTTGTCTTCTCTTTCTCTTGTATCCGGTGCTCGTATTGTGGCCATAGGCCTTTGTTCTGTATTATACAATATAGAGAGAGGTAGAAAGCTCGGTTTCTGCATAATCCATATACATGATTGTATTAAGATCAGGAATCTTAGGCGTATAACTTTTGTATTCGTATTCCCAGACATGAGACCGTAGCCATTTTGTCTCACACCCTTGATATGTCCTGTGTTGTTATTGACACACATGATAATATGAAATAATGATGTCTAAATCACCCGAAATCGGGTTTTATCTCACAACACCCGGGGACATTCGAGTTCAGATACCCTAAAATCTCGGATACCCGACCGTGCCAACTCCTAGGAATCACAATCATCAAAAAAATCCAGTTTGAAATATAGGAATGTGATTGGATCTATGTTCTAAGCTCGATGAATAGAATTCAACAAGGAGAGCTTACCCATGGTCTCATAAAATATCGACCAATCTCATTCTTTGATCGATGTTGGATCCGAATAGGCTAATACACAATAAATTTTTTTTTTTTTTTTTTTTTTTTTTAAG